AAAATTGCATTGGGTCAGGTGAGGCGTTTTGTCCTGATGTTTGTTCTAGTTCACAGCTCTGTAACTGCTTGCGACTTTCTGAGGACATGTTTTACCCTGATTTCCTTTAAAAACCTGCCATCTTCACTTTCAGTTTCGAAGGTGCCGTTGAAAACATGAACTTGAAATTTTTCGAAAGGCTCTCGCAGTCCCAATGCCCCACCAACCCCTTCAGTTAGGAAAGTTTCGTTCGATGCGTTGTCTAGGATGGCGTTTATTTTTATTTTTCTACCATTGGCCTCAATCTACACAGGGACACTTCGTAACGAATAAGGTTCAGTTGGCGTTCCTTCATTACAGCTGGTCAGGGTCACAGCGGGCGCCCCCTCCCATGGAACATATGTGCGTTTCTCATCATCAACATAAGGCAAAGTCGTCTGGTGCGTTCGTTTAACCAGCGACTGTAATTTTCTAGCTGACGATCAGGTAAATCTTTTTATCAGCAGGCTGTAAAGAGTTCCATCTCGTAACTCACCGCCTCTTCCTTCGGCCCGTAACTTTACCACTAATTCTAACAAGGTCAGCAAACTTTTCAAGCGGGTGGATGTCGTTGCTTCTTATCAACGGCACCTGTTGTAGTTGATCCATATAAGCTCGTCGTAGAAACCAGCGCCTACCTCCATACCTCATCTTTAATATTTCTTTTACCTCCTCGTATTCGTGGGCGGTGACTGCAGGACCACAAATGGCTTCCAAAGCGTTCCCTGTAAGGCATTGTAGTAACCTTGCCATTTTTAATTGTATTGGCTCCGTTGAGTCGTCTACGAGACTTGTAAAAAGGGCCCAAACATCTTCAAACTTCCTTTTGTCACCATTAAACGTCGGAACTGTTAACGGCTTCAGATATCAGTTTCGGTCGTCCTGGCTGCCGTGACTTTCTTTCAGCTGATCTTCTCGGCCGACTACTCGTAGTTCTGTTCTGCTGTGTTCTCGCTTAACGGCGGGTTCATATTTACGGTTTTGAACGCGCGGACTTTGATCACATTTTGTCCCTCTTCAATCGTTCTTTGTACGTCTCTTTCGATCGTTTCGGACTCTTCTCTTCAAACGGTTCTTTTCTCCTAGCTTCTTCTTCGACTTCGACTTAGAACGCGGTCAGTTCCTCTTAAATTTTTTTGCGCGTCCTCTAGGGCTGCCCACAGCTGTTCAATCACACATAACATGTCCGTTATTTCGGAATCTTTTTACCGACAGTCTTTCCAACTCATGTCTGAGTTTTGTCATTTTTGTCTTTGCGGTACGTTTCCTTCTTTTAATCTGTATCAACCGAACGTCCTTTTGCTTCTGTTTGTCTACTCCAATCGGTCCAGTTCTGTCGTTTTTCTTGGTAGCTTCGGTAACATCGCTATCCTCTGATTGAGATGCCATAGCGCTCAACTCCAAAACTCAACTCATGTAACGAAACCTCAAAAAAATAACAACTCATAACTTTCTCCCATCGTGGTCGCCAAAAATGTTAGGAGGTGAAACGAAAATCAGGAAATCAAACAAACACGTATATTCGTGGAAGGCAGTTGGCGAAAAATGGAAAGGCATTGACCATTACTGTAACTTTCTTAGGGTGTTTTTCTAGCAAATGTTATTTGTTACATCGATGTTTGGTTTTAAATACCTGTAGCAATTTGACGAAAGTATTCAAGAAGCGGCTAAATCTCCAATGTTCATCTCTTCTTCAAGGTTTTGATCAACGGCCGTAAATTTTCTAGCTTCTATTTTCTTTTTCGACATAAAAAAATCCCGAATGTATTGTAAAAGAAAACAGGCTCATTATTTGTAATAAACACCACGGCCGGTCAAGTTTTGCTAATCAATACATATTTTCCTGACAAGTCAGCTATGAAAAAGGACTTTTCAGAGTCTGTCATATCTATTGCTTGATTGACGCTACATTTATGGGAAGCAGTGTTTTAGTCCTACAACTTTGTAAGTGGATCCTCTTTTTACACTGTTTATATATCGGTTTTTAACTGGTTTTCTCTACATTCTCAAATTATGGAAAATTTTCACAGATAAAACATATTTGCCTAATAATATATCTCACAATTGTTAAATCTAATCGGTTTGCAAAATTTCAATATGTGATATGCAATGTAAAAGAACACAAAAGACTTCACGAAAGAAGCAAACACCTCCCAGAAGTGAACAATAAACAATTTATCCCAAACTTATAAGCAGTACTATTTCAAAATTTTTCCCATTTTGAGAAATATGTATAGGAAAACTTTGTTAAAATTAACTGCCATTGTAAGTCTGTTTCAAGCGCGAATGTTAGGTAGCTGTTTTGCTAGTCGGGCTGTCTCAGTCTTGCTTTAATTTTACTCCAGCGATCTCAACCCACTGAAAACTCCTGAGGTTAAGTCCTCTAAATGATTACTGGACAAGTGTCTGTGACGAACAGATGATCACAACAAAATGGCAGCTTTAAGCTGTTAGATAATGTTTCGAATAATTAAATATTTTCAGCTATAACAAAAATGCCTTTGGTTCTCGTTTTAAAAGCTTGACTGGCTTGACGCAAACGATACTTCTTCGATCGGATCCGAGAACCGGTTTCTAGTATAGATGTCTCATAAAAATCTCTGTGCAGATTGATCGTAAAACCATCGTATTGAAAAGCTATCACCAAACCAGACATAACAAGACTTCCATCGATTTTCTTGACGCACGAGACCGAAAGAGACAACCATAGTCTTTCCTGTATAGAAATTCTTCTCCATCCTTAAAGAAATCTGGTAGGAGGGATTGTTAATGGTGTTAATGGAATAAACCTACCGTTCCTAATGCCACTCAAAAAGTCTTACATATAAACTGTCATGTCCTTAAAGTATGACCTCCCTTAAACTGGTTAGTTCATTCCTGCTTAAAGTGATGTTGACCCAGTGACCAATTAATTCTGCAAACCATTCAAATTGAATTTTAAAAACTTTTCGTATCCAAAGTGCTCAATTTTGTGTGATCCGCTTGCATTTCTTTACAATAAATCCACCCCATTTGCGGTAAGGTATCTTCCCGGCCGTAAAATATCAAAGGAAAAACTATTTACTCAGAATATGAAACACTCTAAACGAGTTCTATATTTCACCATAAAATGAAGTTAACCCAGTTATGATTATACAATTTGCCCCATTAAAGTGCTCGAGATTTTGTTATCCGGTTTCTTATATATAAAGTTAATACATAAGCTAAGAAGCCGACAGGGTCTAAAATAAGTTACTGATTTCTCACATGATCATCTTTTCTTTAATTTATTTAACGGATGTCTCGTGGGACTCTCTGTGCAGCTTGAACGTAAAGAAATCATATTGGAAAGCTATCAAAAAATCCGAACATCACATGACTTCTATCAATTTTCCCGACGCACGAGACCAAAAAAGCCAACCACAGTCTTTTCCTTAGGTCGCCTGTCAACCCACTTAATGACACACTTGTTATCACAAACTTAATTTCCAAATCAATTATTTTTCTGTCGACCAAAGTGGTTTGAAAGGGAGAGAAAAGATAGGATGAAGAAGTTATCTATCGGCTTGAGGTCGTTACCGACGTCTTTGCTTAAAAACAACGCCCAGATTTTCTAAAAATTTAGATTTACCTCACATATGTTTTTCCTTTTTCATAAACTTTAGCTCTCGACAAAAGTAGAAATTGTAACGACTTGATAGTTTTTTTCAAGAAAAGGCTGAATCTTAAATTTTCATCTCTACTCCACGGTTTTGATCGAGGGCTGTCAATTTTCCGACTTTCATTTTTTTTTTTCAGCATAAAAAATCCTTAATATATTGTAAAACAAAGCAGGCTTATTATTGGTAATAAACACCGCGGCTGGTCAAGATTTTCTAATCAATACATTACTGCTGTATTGACGCTGCATTTATGGGGAGGCAGTGTTTTAGAACGAAACTTGGTAAGTGGATGCTCATTTCACACTATTCTTATATAGGTTTTAAATGATCCTCTCTAGACTATCAAGTTATAATAATTTTTTTTTAATAAAACAAATTTGCCTGATAATATATTTCGAAATTGTTAAATCTAAACAGTTTGCAATATTTCCATTTGAAAAATGCAATGTTAAGGAAGACAAACGTTCTTGTAGAACCTTACGAAAAAGCAAACACGTCCTAAAGGTGAACATTAAGTAACAACAAACAATTTATCCCAAACTTATAAGCAGTATTCTTTCAAATTTTCCCCCATTTTGAGTTACATGTGTTAGAAGATTTAGTTGAGATACATTGCATTGCTGGGTCTGTTTCAAGCGTGAAAGTTAGGCAGATGTTTTGATAGTCAGACTGTCTCCGTCTGGCTTTAATTTGTTGGCACAATTGGTTCTGAGGTTAAGTTCTTTGATTGATTATTGGACAAATACCTACGACGAACATATCATCAAACAAAATGTTAGCTTTAAGCTTTAAGATAATCTTTCGAATAATAACATATTACCAGCTATGATAAAAATGCCTTGGCTTCTCGTTTTTAAAGCATGATTGGCTTAACGCAAAAGATATTCCTCGATCAGATCCGAAAAGAGGTTAAGTTCATGAATGTCTTAGAGAATTCTCTCTGCAGCTGGAACGCAAAGGTATCATATTGAAGAGCTATTACTAAACTGGACATCACAAGACCTCTATCAATTTTCCTGACGCACGAGACCGAAAAAGCAAACCAGTTTTTCCTGAATACAAATCTTTCTCCATCCCCAACGAGATATCGTAAGAGGAGCTGCTAATGGTGTCAGTGCAGTAAACCGTTCGTAACGCGACTCAAAAAGTCATAAATGTAAACTGTCATGTCCGCATGAGCTAGATTAAAAATCATTAGTTCATTGCACCATAGAGTGATCCAATGATCTATAAACTCTGTACACCAGTCTAATTGAGTTTTTAAATGCTTTCCGTACCCAAAATGCTCAATTTTGTTACTTTGAAAGGTTCAATATTTCACAGTATAATGAAGTTAACCCAATGACGATTATACAGTTTACAGTTTCCTCAAGGCTTTTCGTTATCCGGTTTCCTCTATGTAAAGTACATCAAGAAGACTATTGTGGTAACCTCTCTGTTAATGAAGATGATATTCTGGTTTCTTATGATGTTACAGCTCTCTTCACCAATGTGCCGTTGGATGTGACTATTAACATCTTAGTCAACAAAGCCTTCGCGGATGACTGGTTTAATAAAACCCATGGGCTTAACCTCCAAAAAGATCAGCTTGTTAAGTTGGTAGAAATTGCCACAACCAATCAACTTTTTCAGTTTGATGGTCAGTTGTATGAGCAAACGGATGGAGTAGCTATGGGCTCCCCCCTTGGCCCCCTAATGGCGAACGTCTTCATGCGCCACCTCGAAGAGAAACTCACACGCGATGGCTTCGTGCCTCATTTGTACAGAAGATACGTTGATGATACTCTTGCAAGAATGTCAAATACTGATGCTGCCACTAAGTTTCTTACTACCCTGAATGGCCTACATCCCAGTTTACTGTTCACAATGAAGCTTCCTGTTGATGATAGGATTCCTTTCATCGGCATTGATATCATCAAGAATGGAACAAAACTTGAAACTCAAGTCTATAGAAAGCCAACTAATATTGGCTTGCTTTTACATTTCCACAGTCATACTGACAAACGCTATAAAGACTCTTTATTAAAGACAATGTTACATCGCGCTTATCGNCAATCAACTTTTTCAGTTTGATGGTCAGTTGTATGAGCAAACGGATGGAGTAGCTATGGGCTCCCCCCTTGGCCCCCTAATGGCGAACGTCTTCATGCGCCACCTCGAAGAGAAACTCACACGCGATGGCTTCGTGCCTCATTTGTACAGAAGATACGTTGATGATACTCTTGCAAGAATGTCAAATACTGATGCTGCCACTAAGTTTCTTACTACCCTGAATGGCCTACATCACAGTTTACTGTTCACGACGGAGCTTCCTGCTGATGATAGGATTCCTTTCATTGGCATTGATATCTTCAAGAATGGAACAAAACTTCAAACTGAAGACTATAGAAAGCCAACTAATATTGGCTTGCTTTTACATTTCCACAGTCATACTGACAAACGCTATAAAGACTCTTTTTTAAAGACAGTGTTACATCGAGCTTATGCGCTATCCTCCACAACAGAGGCTTTTAATGAAGAATGCGCCAAATTGCGCTCCATTTTTAGCCGTCTTGATTACCCTTGTAATCTTATAGATTCTGTTATTTCCAATTTTGTCTCTGGTAAACCTTCTGTAGGCACAGCGGAGAGAAATGCTGACGAGAGCAACATAGTCAGAAAATAATCTACCATTCAAAGATCAGGTTTCAGCTAATTCTGTTCGGAGACAGCTGTATGATCTCAGTAATAAGATTGGCCTAGTTTTGCAGCCAGGTTTTGTAAGCAAGAAATTAGAACAAGACCTAAAGCCTAAAGAATCCAAGCCGTCAATTGTTAATCAGCGATGCGTTGTTTATCATTTTGTATGTGATCTGTGCGATACAGATTATGTCGGCTATACGGCCCGATACCTTTTTCAACGTGTCGCTGAACGCAAAAAGTCGGCAATTGGCAAGCGTTTTCATGAAGCGCATGGTAGCAGGGATCGTTTGAATGATAGTCATTTTAAGATTCTAAGAAAGTGTCAAAGCAAATTTGATTGTTTAGTGTTTGAAATGCTTCATATTAAGAAATTCAAACCTAATCTGAACGTGCAAACGGACTCCATACGTGCTAAACTTTCTGTTTAACGCGCAAATTATTTCCTCTTATTGTTCGTTTTTAATATTTATAGCACTTATTTTTATACATTCTTCACTTAATAATGACGTTATGTTAACCTCGAAACGTCGTCGATTTTAGCTTTGTATAGCTTTTTATCGTTTTTAAATTTTACAATGTTATCAAGCAACGTTTTGTCGCAAGTTTTTATCGTCAAATGTTATTCCAAGTTACTTCTTCTACGTATACATCACGAAGGTCAGGGAAAATACTAACTTAGAAGCCGAGAGAGTCTCTTACGAGTTCCTGTTTTCTCCTGCAGATATTTCACTCTTTTCAATTTCTCATGACGAATGTAACAAGTAGATAACGAAATATAAGAATCAAGGCTTCTTTCAAAACCGACGTACATAACGTTATTCAGTCGGTCCATATTGGGAAAAACTGTGCACGAAGTCTTGAGTACCGCCCGAGGGTATAGGCCTTTGTTCTAAACTTAATTGATTTAGGGCTGTAATAACGACAAGATCCTCCATAAATTGAACAGTACTTAACGAGTAGATGGTAGAGAAAACAGAGGTAATTAAAATTAAGCAGAGAGGCTTCACAGAAACAATCTATTTGCCTAATGATAATAATGATTTAAAAGGCTTCCAAACAAACTGGTGTGCGTATATCCAGCCTTGTTTCTTTAAAAAAAAAACACTTAAGTGACAAAAGAAATTTAAACTAGACACAAGTGAATTTAATGCAGCTTTTTCTCATTGAATTTCTTCACTTTCTACGGTGTAATTTCCGGTAGAAATGTCCAAATTAACTTAAAAGCCGATAAAGTCTCATGAGTTACTGATGTCTGCTGCAGATATTTCACTCTTTGTTTGGAAGCGAAACGGAAACCAAACAAACACGTTTATTTGTAACACGGTAAACGGTAAACTCCCGGCAAACACAACAACTGCCAAACAAATTGCCACTCAAAAAACTCAAAACTTTCAACTCCTTTACAAGAAAATTGCACACGTCAAAAAAATTATCCGCGTGGTTTGTTGACGATATTGTAACTTCCATAAATTCAAAGTAAGTGTGCGCGAGCGGCGTCCGCACAAGTTCGGTAACGTCTTCTTAACATTTTCACCTCCCCACACTGTGTTTCTAACAATCAATTCCAAGCGGAGTCAGTTTGCTAATCGGTCTCATGAAAGTCCTGACACCACACGCAACTTTAGCTACGCGGGTGTGGCCATCTCGTCCAGGATACACTTCAACAATCCCTACCAATAGCCAACGTCCTCTTGGAGTATCGGGCTAATTCACAAGCTAGAACCACATCCTCAACTTTTAGGCTTCGGCATTCTGGAGTCCAATTTGGTCGACTGTTAAGGGCTGGAAAAAAAGTTCTTGAGCCATCTCCTCCACACTCGTAAAATAATTAAAGTGTTGAACATTTCGCCATCGTTGACGCGGATGCGAAGTAGTGGTTTCAACGGCCTCGGAAGCGAAGTGCCTCCCCATTTCGCCGAGCAAGAAATTGTTAGGTGTCAATGGAACATCGTCTCGTGGACTTGAACTCTGATAAGTCAACGGACAGGTATTAAGAAGGGACTCCAGCGAACACGGCGATCAGCCCCTCATCGTTTATGTATCGTTTTCCCACAACGGCGTAAGTGTCTTTCTTAGCAGCTTTCACCATTCTTCATGGGTTCCTCCAAAATGTGGGGCAGCTGCTAGATTGAATCTCCATGTTACTCCAAGTTCGACTGTCACAATGTACTTTTGACTCGACAGGCTCTGGACTTCGTACACACCGGGGAATCTTCACCTTCTGCAGACTTTTCAATTGCTCAAACCAAACCACGATTTGGTTTGCCATTCATCTTGAACTTGCAGTCTATCATGATCAAAATCCTCATCAAGTATTTTTTTGAATGCTTCATTAGGCGTGGGAAAGCCGCTTTTTTGAATATAATCAAGTTCGTCTTGGCTAAAACCGATTTGTGGATCGGGTACTTTTGTTTTCGGTTTAGCGGAGTGTGGTGGCGGCTCGAGAGCTGTAGGAGAATCGGGTGGACTTTCGAAAGTATCGAGCTCTTTGAGAAAAGATAGATCGTGAGTGAGAGCTTTTTGATTCTCCTGCAATTGCTGAATCATTTTGTCTTGCTTATCGTCTATTGTCTCTTTGACCTGCTTGACCTCTTTCACAATCGGTTTGAATACTTCTTCACGTTCGAGTTCAAGACCTTGCTTGGCATCGTTATAATCTTGTACTCTATTTTTGATTTCCGACCTCTTGTGATTTTTTTTCAAGTTTGAGGTTAAGGTTTCTTTTAAACGCTTCAACATTCATTTTATTAGTAGACAATATTTTTTTTGATTTTGCACGCGCATGGGTTTTTTATTACACGAGGTACTAGAACGTGTCGCGCGAATCACGAGGTACCACTTTACATACAATAAGCAATCACGTGAAAGACAATAGATTACATTCCAGAGCCCCTAGTAACGGAGGGGGTCGAAACTGACTTCAAAAAATTATTTTTAGCCTCTCGGTTACTAGGGTGCTCTGGAATGTTTCTATTGTCTTGCACGTGATCATCCCATTGTTTGTGGTTAATGCAAATCAGTGTTCACGTGAAACACTTTACACGCGAGACATACGCTTTACCTTCGTGTCTTATGATTACATCATAGATTACATCATCAGGCCGGTCTGTCTGACTGAAATTTGCAAACCAAAATCTTTTGTAAAACCGCAAATGTCTGTCATGTCTAAGTCACGCAATTCGAGGAGCTTTGTGAGTTAAGTCTTTTCGTCGATTTAAAAAGGGGTCGGGAAAAAAAATAAACATAGTGACTTTGTATGTGAAACTTATCTCCAAAGATAAGTGTGACTTTTGCTTTTGCATGACACGAGGTCCTTGTGACATTTGATTAGATAACACTTATCTTTGGAGATAAGTGTGACTTTCGCTTTTGCATTCATAACACTTATCTTTGGAGATAAGTGTCACTTTCGCTTTTGCATTCATAACACTTATCTCCAAAGATAAGTGTCACTTTCGCTTTTTGCATGACACGAGGTCCTTGTAACATTTGATTATCTGACAAGATTTTAAAAAATATTTACAAGAAATAAATTAAAGCAAAATGGTTGATATTATAAATTTCACAACACACCGTTCAAACGAAAATCGAAAGAGAAGAGTACCCGGCGTTGACTTTCTTGATGAAGAGTACAGAATGTTGATAGCGGGCCCCAGTGGAAGTGGAAAGACAAACATACTCATGAATATTTTGAGAAAGCCGTTGGTCATTTACGATCAGATTTACCTTTACACAAAAAATCCACATCAAGAGATGTATCAAGATTTGCAAAAGATTATGCAACGACACTCACAGAAATTTGGATGTGATATTTTGCACATAATGAACCCCGATGAGATTCTTGACACGGCTGAGTATCCAGAAGGAAATAGAAAGGTTGTAATTTTTGACGATCTCCTCGCCGCTCCCAAAAACGTGCAGGAAAAAATCTTGACTCACTTTATTGACGGCAGACATCATTTGATTTCACCGGTTTATCTGAGCCAATCTTATTACAGGACTCCTGCAACAATCAGATTAAATTGCTCTCATTTGATTGTGTACGCGCCTGTACAAAAGCGTCATCGCAAAATTATCGCTGATGATAACAGTTTTGATGTAGATTTGTTCTCAAGACTGAAGCCATTTGACTTTCTTTTCATCGACAACGTGAAAAAAACATGCCGCAAAAATTTTATTGAAGAAATACGAGAGACTGACCCCTCGAGTGAAGACTAAAAAAATTTTTTATAATATGTTGATATTATAAAATGAAGACATATTGTGTCAAACAGAGAAAAAAGACTGAGTCCGTGCCTGGAAGTGAGAGGCATGAGATTGCGAAAAACGGTCGACCGATGATTAAATCAACATGTGCAGAGTGTGGTATCACAAAAGTGTCTTTTGCGGGA